TGCAACAGTCGCCTTTTTGCACTTTTCATTACCTTGTCCGTGAAACACCATGATGGGATGCTTGTATTAGTATAGAGTCCAGAGACGCTAGCACAACCATTAGATCATCACGTGACGCGATTTGGTCATCAGGTGTTTGCCAGATACCCTGTACATAAAATTACATCAAAGACAATTAAAAAGACGTTGCGAGGTCGCTATCAACCATATCACAGACGTGTACATTAGAACGAGACATTTTCATCCAAAAATATGCGAAAGCACTCGAAAAGTTACAGAAACAATCTCTGCGGTTGCAGTTTTTCAGCTTGCTTCGCCAATCTAGTCTCAATGTTTTTACCGGACGATAGAGCTTGTTAGACACTTTCATATTCATCAAATGTTTTCCTTGTTCTGTCACCTCGAATTTTAGAAAAAATATTAACAAAACATTATTGTTGCGTGAAGAAATGGCGTGATTCTGTTTATTTGTAAATYAAAGAATACATGTACATAGATTGCATTGGCAACGAGCTCTTTTTTATATTGATTTTAATTTAAAAGCGCGCAACTCGAAGACGATAAATTATTTTTGGTTGCATCGAGTTTTGTCCTGGGCGTGACCGAGGCAAATTTGGGCGTAGTCGATCGCGTATCTCGAAGCGCGTGACTCGAAGATTACGCGCCCTCTTCCTTATCTTACCTCTCTRATAACAACCATCATTTCATTACGTTGTCCGTTCCGTGACAAATTTATTCTTTGATTATTCTTCAGTGTTCTGTTATTACCCTGAATGGAAGGAAAAGTAAAAGAAAATATCAGGATTCAGTTGTACCAAGGATACAACACAATACAATCCTACCTTGAAATAGACAACCAGCTTTTTCCCATGTTGACTTGAATCATAAGAAACGAAAAAGGACAGCAACCCACCATACGACGTAACCTGTAAAAGCAAAGATTGTCTTAGTTCCGTTAACAGTCCACGTTCAGTTAGATTTGTTAACGGGTTTCGTGCAACATTTTCACTACAAAATTCCAGGACCTTTCAAGTACTTTTTAAGCATAAAAATGCGATTTTCAAGGAGTATTTTTGGAGATATTTTTAGATGTTTGCGGACGTTTCAAATGGCATTGACATTTCAATCCAAAAAAATAACAATCAACATGTCAATTTTATCAGATTCAAGGAGTTTTCCAGGAGTTTCAGCAATTTTCCCAATTTTCAAGGGTTTTCAAGCGCCCTTGAAAACGAGTTTTCAATTCCAGGACTTTTCAAGGACTTTAAGCTGGAGTAGCACAAACCCTGAACAAATGTTATGTTATCAAACGACAAAATCTAAGAGGCAAGTCTTATTCCGATTAGGTTTTAGTCCGAATTGGGAAAGTTTATCCAGAGAGTAAAGCGCGACAGTAGACTATCTTGTTTGATATTGCCCATTAGAGTCCTTTTTATCCGTTTGTGAAACAGGAATTGTACTATTAAATACTATTACCCTATTAGCTCCCAATAGTTTAACTTATGACATGACAAACTAATTAGGCAAACACGGTTTTGATTTTGCCTTTCGGTAGCCCACTACACCCTAATAGTTACTATTAAACACTGACTAGTAGTAAATGATTCACAGACGGATGAAAATGACTCTAACGCCATACCTTGTTTCCAAGAAATATGTCTGGTAAACTCCAAAATAAAGGYTCGTCCCTGTTAAGTTTGTGGACCAATTCTTTAGTAGTCGTGTTGTAGGAGAATTCCTTTAGTTGTATTCGTTCTTTACGATTTGTGATGACAACACCTTGTGAATCAGAGCTTGTAAAGTTCATAACAACCTAGAAAAAAGACAACTAATCGCCCAGTTCTGACATATATCACAAAGGACTCAGAATAATTAAAAATGTCTAGAATACGCGTATCTTACCCTCGACTTGTTCAGCGACGAGCTCTCACAGGTGTCTGTAATTCCGTTACAAAAGCACCTCAGGCAACCCCCGTAGGGATCCAAACCAAGACCAAAGAAATGTGACAGACAAGCATTACATGTTTCACCCACCACGTAAGCCTATAAAAAAACATTGACAATAAGCTAGTTTGGTAATAAGTAAGCCAGACACACAGTCAATAGACCTTATTACTAATACGACCGCCATCTTGAATWACATACCAAAGAATTGTATAACATTCTTGTGGGCTACCTGTGTTTTGTTCAAGGATGAGAGGGGACTAGGACAAACTTATAATGTCCGACATGTTGAAAAATAGCTTCTCTGCMAATTCTGTAAGTTTTTAGCCATTTTAAAGCACAAAAAGATGGAAAAACGTGAGAAAAACTTTCTAAGATGACCATAYATACTCAGCAAACGTTTGGCAAACGAATGAATTTTTCTCCGAAACAATTGTTTCATATGGAAATTATGGGATGTCCAGCGGGCATCAAATATTGTTATAAGAGAAGTAGCCCAAAATTTCTTCTTCTGTGAAAGGATCACGTACATCCGAGATCCTTTGCGTGATTTTTTTACGGCCGCATTGTTAATAAAGTCCATTGACACAGAGGGAACAAACCTTACAGCGGCATTTCCTCGTGATTTGATCTGGTTGATTAGAATGACTACCACGAGGATCACATGACTCTGGACCTTTTGGTAAACACGGCTTTCCTTCTAGTGGGTTTCCTGTGTAATTTGCAGTGCACCTGATACAATGAATGTAAAGTAAGTACGCCTACTTGAAGCATTATACATTGATCTCATTGGTTAAATTGAGTCGTCACATGACTAAGCTATTCAATAACCTTTTTACTATATAGTAATATGAGGTTGAGTTTTAGACTCATTTTTACTGCCAACGCCAACCGTCAAATACTACAGTTTCGAATTCTCTTTTGTGCAAACTACAATCATGGACATAAATAGTTGACAATTTTTCACTTTGGTACCAGAGATGCGGTATCTTTTGTAAGTCATGTTTATTTTTCCCCACCCTCCCCTCCCTCCCACTGCAATGTTGTAGGTACGGGTTCGTGAATGGTTAGAGTATGAAAAAACAGCCACACAACATTGTATTAGGGGAAGAGGTGGGGGGATGCTTTTATCCACGAGTAGTGTGAGCAAACTCGTGCGCGCGATAAATTGTCAACGTTGTAAGCTTCAAGCAAGGATAAATGTTTATTGTCTTCTTTTTCTTTGTTTGCAYGACAATAGGATCTCTGCTGAATAAAAGAATATATTACATGCTTTCGAGGTTAAGGATTCGATTCCCAACAACAGGGARAAACTCCATATTTGTTCAAAATGGCCGACCAGTACATTTTGTCCATGCATGCTTTGCGATCGCAATTTCGGATCCAGACCCTTTTTTAATCTACCCTACCTTTCGCAGTTTCGTCCAGTGTACTCAGGTTGACATGYGTCGCATGTCGGTTTTCCATCTTCAGCCAAAACGCACGTAGGACTGAATCTGCTTGGTGGCTGGTCGTGGGGGCATGGGCACGGTAGGCAGTCCTTGGTAGTACCTTTAGTGGCATTGCCATAGAAACCAGGTAAGCACTTATCGCAGTGTGCTCCAGTTGTATTGTGTTGACAATCCTTGAAATTTAAGAAAGAAAATCATAGGAATTTTGAATTAGTATCAATCCGCCAGTATCGAATTCTCTTTTGTGCAAGCTTAGACTCAATCAAGYATARWTTTTTATTGTATTCTTCGTACACAGARTTTTTGCATTACAATAAGATCTCTGCTGAATAAAAGAATATATTRCATGATGCTTTCGAGGTTAAGACTGCACAAATAAGATCTCGAAATRGTCTCCTTCACGGATACCTGCGCCATCTTGAAAGGTAGCYGTGCCTTTGCATCGAAGCGAGACGACCGTTGAGCGTGCAATGATAGATACCTGTGAATAATTGTCTATAGGTGTGAAAGAAGGTATCTATCATTGCACGCTCAACGGTTGTCTCGCTTCGATGACAAGGCACGGCTACCTTTCAAGATGCCGCAGGTAACCGTGAAGGAGACTATTGGAGTATTATTGTTTCTTGCGCCCTGCTGAAAGGTACCCGAGCCTTTGCATCAAAGCAAGACATCAGTTGAGCTTTCAATGATACTTGTGAATAATGTCTGTAGGTGTCAAAGGCTTTTATCATTGCACGGCGATCTACGGTTGTCTTRCTTCGCGAATATCTTTCAAGATTGTGAAGGAGATAATTTACTCATGAATGAATKATAAAWCGATGACTAGATGCGCAAACGAAAAAAAATGGCGAAATAAATGGCTRAACGAATGGATWTACAAATGRATGAACAAGTGTCATYAAAACTTACAAAACATGTGCCATCTTTAGGGTCACATCTATCAGAATGACCATTACAAGAACACTTGACACAGCGAACTGGGAATGATTTAGCTTTGGGATCACGAATATATCCTTCAGCACAGTACTGAAAATATGAAAAAAAATTATTATAAGARYAGACGGTTCTACTTGACRCWGCCACCATTTTGAATAYATAATGTGCCCCGACGCGATTTTCTCCAGCAAAGAATGATGGGAAATGCTGTTGTTGAGCTTTTTTATGTTGTTTTAAATGATCTTCAAATCTGTCTTTGTGTTTTCTTAGTAAAAATACTGGCCTGGATCTTAGGCCCTCTCAAATTTACAAGATTGCATATTGTAAATAACGAGGCAAAGTCCAATTTTGTTTCGACAGAAAAAAACCCAAGGACTACATTTCCTACTGTATTTTTCTCTAAGAAATGGCGGCGTTAAGCATTTCATAAAAATAGAGAGATATTTTATATTTTGATTACCTCGCAAGAGATGCCTCGGTAGCCTTCTGGACAGCGGCATTGCTCCACAAGGCTACTTCTTCCCAGTCCTTCGTCGTTGGTTACAGCTTGGTCGAGAGAGACGTCCTTAATGCTATATTGCAATGGAAAGAACAGTGTAAAAGCAGCCGAAAGAAGAGTGAAAGGAAAAGATACGATGATATTAACAGCATAAACTCWAGAATCACAAAAGAGATGRCAAATCAGCAAAAGCGACAGAAACATCAGGGACAATCACGACACGAAAGCAACAACAATAGAGCAAACTTTAACTTCAACGACATGGACAAGGACAGTAGTGCCAACATAGAAGAACTTAGCAAAMGAAAATAGCATCATAAGAAAACAAAAGCAGCAAGAGAAACACAAATCTAAACAACGGCAACAGGAAAGACGATGGCAACATCAACGACAAAGAAGCGACAGCGAAAAAAGCGATGACAACAAAAGCAACGACAACGACAATGTTATTAACATAAACAGCAACKGTGCCGAAGGTAATAACATTAAAAACAGCAGTAATAATAACAACAGCAGCARCAAAATAACAACAACAGAGCATCTAGACGGATAGTGTATAGACAGAATTTGACTGTAATTGAGTTATAAATCAATTAAAAACAACAACAATAGCAGCAGCAGCAACAACAACAATTACAGCAAAAAAACTCAAACGACCTGTACCTTATGGTTTTGTGCTGGTCGATAACTTTAAGACCAACGCGGATGAGAATGCTTGTAACATTTGACAAAACTCTCATCAAATCAGCCCGGGAAGCACGTCTACCATCACTTGTCTGCCATACTTCCTACATCATAAAATACAACAGGAAACTGTAGATATCCGAGCAAGATGAAAACCTGTGTGGCTGCCTTAGACATACCTCTACAATTGGYGTSACAAGAAAAGTGTAGTCGTTAGGTTTTGGTGGAACAATATGATGATATGTCAGCATCAATCCACCGCCCTAGAAAGATAAAATCGCACTTTCTAAAGTGTCAACCATTTTATAATCACTGGAAAAGTTAATCAATTTACAGAGTCTGGAAATTTTCTGTAAATTATTCAATTTACAGAAAAAATGTCCTTTTATAAACTTTGTAAATTGATTTTACACTATATTTACAATGTTTGATACAGCAAAATAAAGTGGAAAAGAAGTCTGTAAATTTAACAAACATTGTAAATTGATTTTACACGATATTTACAATGTTGATACAGCAAAATTTACAAGATATTAACAGAATGTACATAAAATTTACAAACTTGGTAAAAGGACATTTTGTGTGCAAATTGAATTTACAGTATATTTACATATTATTTACGAACTCTGTAAACGAATCAACTTTTTCTTTGAATTCAGGGGATGTTTGCAGAAATCTGAGCAAAAAAAAAAAATCGCGAAATCCTTAAATCAAAGTAAAAAAAAACCTGAAAAACAAATGCGCACTAGTCTAATAAGAATTATTATATAGATGATTTCTAACGCGCGCTCTGATTGGCCAAAAAAGTGTGGTTTATGAGAGTATAAACCACGGCTGAGCCTGAGTGTTGAAATAAAAAAATAACTTCCACAACGAATGTTGACGAAAAAAATGTCGTTCGTGAATAGAATATGTCAGTTTTAGGTGCACGCATAAGAGGAAAGTAGCAATTACCGATAAAGCATCGAGTGATAATCCTGGGTAATCACAGTACAAATTACTAGTGTAAACAAGGTCGCAGTTAGCTCACCAATGGCCAGGAGAACTGAATTTCTACACAGACCTCTTGCAGTAAATAAGAAGCTATAATAATGTTGTTACCTCAAGGATAACATCCTTTGACTGGCTATCAACTTGYCTCTCGATGCGCTGAATCACAGCAATTTTACCAAGCGTCGAAGGACTTGAATATCTGAGATAAAACTGTAGGGCACCACCATAGCTTACCATCTAAAGAAAGCAAAAAAAAAAGCACTATTTCGCTTCCGCATTTTATGAACTTTAAAATGATTTACGAGGAAATAATAACGGAAAATTATAAACTCAAAAGAGTGATTTTGCTTTGTCATTTCCTCTGGAAATTTTGTTATATTGCTGTTATAAGGTGCTGTTGTTGTCTCCATCGCATTCGTTGTTGTTGTTGTTATTATAAGATGCTGCTGCTGTCAGTTGTWGTTGCCGTTGGAGTGTGTGTTATTGCAGCCCACAAAAACTACATCTACTATACTATTGTAATGGATAAAACTCTTTTTAAATATACCTTCTTTCCAAGGTACCTTGCAGGCAGTTTCCAGTACAGATTTGTATCACCAGTTACATTTTCAACAGTCAAAGCATCGGGTTCTAYTCGTGAAAAATTCGCGTCTACTTCGTTACCATCCTYGTCCACGAGTCGAAATCCAGCAAAGCCAACATCATTTGTAAACGTGGTTTTAATCTTAATCGATAAAGCGTTGGGTCAATATATAGAATTGAAGTGGTTTATCAAATAATTAGTTAGATAACATGCAGTAAAACCCGCATCCCTAACGAGCCTTTGTTTATGTTTGAAACTGAGAAAAATACATTGTAACTGAGACGTTTATTGGCAAAAAGGATTTTTTTTATACATTTATGCTATATTAATGGATATATTGAAAGTTTCGATCATAAAAATAACAAATGGATACTAGGATTGCGAAGTCATTTGAAGTCATTTTTCTTATTTGAAAAATCTCAAGCACGGCCGCATAGAATGTCGGTAGACTATGGCCCTTTAAGACCCCGACAACGAGGCTGATAGGGCTAATATATAGGCATGAATATAGGGTTATTTCAACACGGAAAAAAGAGAACAGTCGCTGGATGTCACAATGTTCAAAAAGTCTGTATTTTTATATCATTTCTAGCAGTGATTTTCATGGACTTCTTACTTGTGCTTTAAAYAGCTTCGAGCTTTGACAATCGCTCGTCAATCCCATACAAAAACACTTGCGGCAATCGTCTTTGGATAAAGCTGCTGCGTTGAASAGCGGTGGTTTACACATCTCTCCTGGCACTGTGGACATAATGACAATTCTACAATGATAACCACGTGATGATAAACACGTGTGACCACTCCCTCAAAACAAAAGCACTCGTAAATGCTTGCTACTCAAATCCATATACATTACATTGCATTAAAATAACTGCCACTCAATAGTGTTCTTCACAGCTTCCTGCGCCACCTTGAAAGGTAGCCTTGCCTTTGCATTGAAGCGAGACAAGCGTTGATCGTGCAATGATAGAAACCTTCTTTCACACCTACAGACAATAATTTACTGGTATCTATCATTCCACGCTAGACGGTTGTCTCGCTTCGATGTAAAGGCACGGCTACTTTTCAAGATGGCGCACGTAACCGTGAACGAGACTAGAGCGGATTTCGTATGAGTGGGACACCGTTATCGCACGGTTACCGCACAGTTACCGGACCTGGCCTGCACAATTTTGGTGAACCAATGGGGCACTAGAATTTGGTTACAGTACGATTACGGTCACATTACAGTACCGTCCGTTCCCCACTAATACGAAATCCGCTCTATTGTGGACTAACTAAGAAACGTTCCTCACCTCTGACGCTCACTCGACATGGTTCATAAACACGTGTTGCCCCACGCTTGTTGTGCGCTTCGCAACTATAACTCCCTGAAAGATCCTTGGTAGCGTTAATGATAGTAACCTGGCTTCGCCCATTTAGTGTTTGAACGGTAACTTGTGGTGTAGAAGGCAGCTTTTTGTCGTTAAAACGCC